AACATCGACCAGACTACACAGCGCAACAACCCAGAAGACAGAAATCTTCATACTCTGATGACGGAGGCAGTATGACCTCTGAAACGTTGGTTAACATCGACCAGACTACACAGCGCAACAACCCAGAAGGCAGAAATCTTCAGACTCACCGTTGTGATAACCTCAAATCTTACGAGATAATAGTTGTTTATTGTGAACGTCGCACGAGACAGTTTGTGGACATTGACAGCATGTAGAGATTCTGATTTGAAGATATTTCGGAAGGCGACTCCAATGTATTCTTTACGTGAATGTTAGTGTAAGGACGGAGTTGTTATGACGTTTTATTTGGTTGTGGGTTCAATCAGGAAGTGTTATTCTTATCTGCAAAGTCTTTTAGCGTGATGTAAGTTTAACAAAATTCGAGGAATACAAATGACGAACAGTCTTAAAACTGACCGTGTTATCCTTGAGTTGGCTTTTTTTTAAAATTGATTTCATCTATTATCGTCTGATTGTTGCCGTTACCTTCTGTGTAGTCGTAGCCGATTCCGCATATATTAAAGCGGTTCCTGAGATTGTTGGCAGATGGTGTTGCCTGTTCTATACTAGTACTAAGAACATAAACAGAGGATGCGCTGCATTAAGAAGTGAATTAGCCCTTCGGGTTTCATCGTGATGTTAAGGTGTTTTGGGCCTTATGGGATAATACTTATGACTAGTAGTGTTTACTGGTTTAGAGTTTACCGTCATTCTTTACGGGCAATTTACTAATTTAAAAATAAGCTTCTGCATTTGATACTGTGTTGTTGATGGAGGCTTTACTTGTGATGGTACGAAGAATAATCTTATGTAGTATTTTAATTATAATTTGTGGTCTCTAAAGACAATAGTTTTACACAGGAGGAAAATGTGAGGTTATGAGTACTATCTTGAAGGATATTTGTGTAAAGCAGACTGGGAGTGACGATGTAATTTTGAGCTCTCTTTTCCGGGAAGAAAGAGAAATCTCGAGGTTGTTTTGCTATCGATTAGTTTGTATGCAGAATGTTAAGTACTTTATTATTATCCAAATCCACGTCGCAGAGTCGTCCTTGAAGAGCTTATAGGCTAGTTAATCACGTGCTTAAAACATTCCTCGCTAATAACGTCGAATAAGAGTTGAGTGCTCATTTCTTGAAGCAAACTCCTTTCTGAACATTATCCATCGTCCCATATTTAATAAAACACGACGTTTTTGAGATTGGAATCTATCTTCTTCCTCAGGTAAAAATCTGCTCTGTTGGGCCCAATCGATAGAGCGAGTCTCTGTCTTATTTCTTGGTTATTGAACGTCGCTTTCTCAACTGCAGAGGTTATATTTTAACGCCGAATAAGACAATAATTGTGCTTGTTTTTTGGTTAATTTAATGACGCTTACTCAACTGCGTGTGTGCGTTGAATGTAAGGATGACGAAGATGGATTGGGAAGGATTAAGTGACTGAATAATACTGCTGAAACCTCAGTAGCCATAATTTACATTCGGTACGTGAATCGAACACAAGACCTTCGTAAGACGAAGCAAGAGTGTCGCGTAATTGAATAATAATATCGCAAATCGAGTTGATATTTGCCCTAATAATTTTTCATTTGTTTTTAAGTATTATCCGGGTTTTTTTTTCGATTACTTAAACGCCCTTCGGTCCTGGTTAAGTCGGATAATCGGGACTTTATTGTAATTCTGCGGTGTTACGGGAAATTAAGTGTTACCAAACCTTATTTTCTAAAGGAAAAAATCCCTTTAGACGTTCTTTTTAGTAACGTAGTTGACTCTGTATTTCATTATGCCACTGAATGTTGAATGTTGGTGAAAGTACTGTTTTTTAGTGACGACAACTCGGCTTTGAGTTGTTCCTTTTAATAAGCACAGTTTGTAACTCATTTTCATAAATGTTTTACTTAATCCTGTTCTCCTTGACATCATATAATTGTTTATTAAAGGAATGCAGCCAGTAGAGCTTTTTTATTAAACCACAGTATTTTTTAATCTTGACTAGGAGTGTTTCTCCTTTCCCCTAGCGGTTTCAGTGAGATGTAAGGCAGAGTTCCATATTAATGCAGTAGCCTACGAATTCTGATTAAAAACATTCATTCGTATTGTGGTTTGCTCAAGGTACGGTAATAATATTACTGAACCGTTGAGTTTAATCATATTGTTAGAGTTTCCACATGAGGGAAAACACAATTTGAGAAAGGGAGGTCTTTTTATAAATTCAGACTTTTAATTTATAAACAGTAGTTGAATTCAAGAAGTATGTAGTAATAGCTTAATAGTAACAGAATTTTGATATACGAAATAATTCTGCGTCTAATTTCATTACTAGCAGGAATACATTCCAAATGTAAGAGGTTTAATGGACTGTGGTGTCTATTTTGAATTTACGTGTAATTCATTTGGATTTGAGATTTGTTGCTAAAATAACACTTGTTTTTATCACATGGTCCAGACGCCAATCTTTCTGTATACTGATCTTGTATCGAGGTAAAGGAAATACGTAGAAACATTTATTATATCTGTGTACCACCTGCTTTAACATTCATTACGGGTCTGTGAATGTCTTTCCACGTTGTATTTAATAGTTTCGTATGATTATCAGTGTAACCAGCGATT